ATAAAGAAAATTAATTAAAATAAATTAATTAAATAAAATGACTAGAGAAAAACAAGAAAGGAGATGAAGCAGATTTAGTCAAAGCTCGTGCTACGCACGATGTCCTTAAAACGTATTTGTTGCCTCCCACGGTGGTAGGAGCGTTGCAACAATCGTTTCCCAGGATACGATGACTACGAACTAATGTTTGAGCACACAAACAAAAGTTCCAGCGAACGAGAACACAGTATGAACACAGGGGAAATTTTCGGAATGCTAGCAGTGTGTTTTTAGAGCTAAAACGTGTATGGATTTGTGTAAGAACGTGTGTAAGAAGTTGTGTTGTTGCAAACCACCTGCCAGCCATTATATAGGAGGATTTGTTGTATGAAAATAGTGAATTAATGAACCTGAACGTTGGACATCGATGACCACTCCGTTAGGCATTGAATTGTCCATGAACTGTCCATTTAACACTGCATTAAAAGATATAAACGTTGGACATTTATTGCTGTAACGGTTCAGAAGCCATCAGAAGACCCCTACGTAGCTCTGCCCGAAGGCCATCAGAACTGGAGCAGTTCTGATGACCGCGCATCAGAACCGGAGAGATGGATTTTTGGACGGCATTCGTGTCCGCAGGTCGCCCGCGCTCGCAAGTCGCGGTTTTTCTTCTCCGAATCGGGATTTGATTTGCACCCCCCCTGCGCGCGTGGAGAGAGCCTTTACCCTTAAGAATCTTAACTCCATAAGGGGGGAGTCCCTTTATAAAGGGTAGCAAATCCCTTGGGTTTTCCGGTGTGGGAAATTAACACTAGAAACTCATCCTTTTTCCCAGTTTTTCCCTTCTAACGGGTAAACTTCGAAAAGCGATTTCTCATTCACCCGTTATCCGTTTTGAGCGTACCATATATCGAATTGTAGCCCTTAACAAGGACAATCCGAAACCACTTTGACCCGACCTAAATCGGAAGTGGACTCCACTCAAAAAATTGCCCGAAAATAGCCATTTAATGCAATTTTTAACACATTTTTCCAACACCGTGCTCCACTCCCAAAACGACGTAGTTTTGAACAATTTAAAAAAAAAAAAAATCGCGTGAACAGCACACGGGTGTACAATGACTATTTTTTCTTTCTTTTTATCCCAGTAGAGTGAATGATGTAACCCGCGTGTAAAGATATGTAACTTACGTTATTGATCGATGTAACTCAAGTTCATTCGAAATGTAACTTGTTGGAAAATTGAACAATGTTTTTTTTGTGTGTTTGAGAATTATATATATATTATAAACATTGATTTCAATGTAAACAATGAAAAATTGATCCTAATAGTTTGATAACTTTTTTTAAATAGTGAATATGTTTTATTTTTAATATTAGGGCAATAAAAATGATATTGCAGAGGTTTATTCCGTGGTGTAACTCACATACATTAAAGTGTAACTCGCGTCTATTAAGATGTAACTCGCGTACATTAAGATGTAAATGAAATGTAAAAAGATGTAACTTCGTGTATTAAACAAACGCACACACATATATATACATATACAGTATATATCAATTAATTCCATTGATCAACATCAAAATGGAAAAATTTATATTAATGGAATTTGATTAAAGGGTAGATGTTAAATGAAAGCAAAGGAATCTGCTTTGAATCTGCTTTCAAGGGTTATGCGTGAATCCGTGATTCCATATTTCCATCGATACCATGATTCCATATTTCAAGGGTTAAGCAGAAAGTTAGAAGTTTATGCTGTGTAATTCATCGATCGACATCAACGGTTATGTTCCTTACTGCTGCGGCGGATTGAAGAGCAGAGATTGAAGAGCTTATGTAAAAACGATGGTGGCTCCTTAATTACTGCTGCTACGGAAGATCGATGGTTCTATTTATTTTTGCAAGAGATTGTTTCTGTACTTAATTGATAAAGTGATGCCGTTTTGGGATCGGCACACCATGCTCAAGGTGCGCCGATCCCACGGTATAATTTGCCTTAAAACCGGATTGGTTGGCGACCCGACAACGGCGACAAGTGACCGGTCAAGGGCCAACCTTGCCCCGGAGGGTCAGCCCGATCAACGGTAAAAAACCTGGTAAATATTTCTCTAAAAAATAAAATTTAAATTGTGTGTTATTTTATTTTATTTTATTTATTACAGAGTATCAAATTAAGGGAAAACTTCTCATTACTTATAATATTAATAATCATAATACATATATGTATTTGGATATCTGGCTATATAGTACAGACTATATGAATAAGAAAATATGTATAATGTGATTGTTTTTTAATAATAATAATTGATGATAATTGTTTCTTAAATGTGTTGAAACATGAAGGGATAATAGCAACTAAGGAACAAGTACGACTAATTGACCTAAGTAGTGCATTGGATTTTAGGGTAGGAAGGTTCAGGCACACCATATGTCAAATCCCACAATAGACAGAAAATTTTGAAAAATTAAAACGGCCTGGTTATGCGATTTCCGGCGAGTTCCAGAAATGGTTTGCGGCCGGGTTTTGGGTCTTCAAGTCTGTTGAGGTTTATTCCTTCAACCCTCGGGTTCAACACGTAAGCCCAAAGGTCTCGAATAGAGTGTGTGTGTGAGTAGACTAGCCCAACAAGCAGATGGTATGGATTAAGGAGGACAAGAAGTAGCAAGTAAGTGATTAGGTATTATTATCTCTTAATAACTCCCTAATACAATACTTTTCGCTAAGGCTCCGTCGGTCGTTCGTCTTACAAAGCAGTAGAAGTGCTGCGAGTAAGAATGCTATAGCTAGAATGCTAAGAATAGAAAGTTGCCAACCCTTTATAATGAAATAAATGCTTCTATTTATACCCACCAATGGGCAGGTGGCTATACTGACGTGGCAGCCTGTGGACCGCTGGTACCCCAACTACCAAATCTTCAGCATTAAATGCACTTCCCGCCAGAATCTAGGTTTCCCGCCTAGTCAGCGGGGACGTTCGTCCGCCCGGGAAGTGAGTTGGATCGCTCCAAGTGACCCTCAAGAGATACCGGCTGTTCGTCTCCTGGCCTTGATGGATATTCACCATGTGGACTGGGTTTCCTCCGATGACTTTCAGTTTGCCCTGGAGACGTTCGTCGTCATCCCTAGTGGCCCGTGGTCCTGCTCCGTGTCCCTGTATAGACGTTCGCCGAGATGAGCCGTTGGGCCTGAACCCCCACCCCCAGACGTTCGTCCCTCCTCAAGGAACGTGGCCCGCGGGCTCGCTTTGTGCTCTAACTGGACGTGCGTCTGGTAAAAAAGGGGTTAATGGGCCGGACCTCGTCTTGGGCCCTTAACCCAACAAAGTCTATGCGGGTTTGGTCCTAACCGCCCTGGTATGCCAAGTGAGTCGACTCTCCTGGGCCGGTTCGGGTCTGATAACATAACTTTTATTTCTTTTTATGTTAGATGTATATTTACAATAATTCGTAATATTACATTATGACAATTGAATTCTTCTTACGTAGGAAATGATTAAATTTCATGTTTAATTTGTATTACTCAAAAATTTACTTTTTATATAAGAAATACCCGTAATATATTTTTCCGTGCATTGCACGGGTATAATACTAGTTCCTTTCTTAAAACGGAAAATGACAAAGTTAGTGAGACATCTAAAAACTAAAAAGGGAAAGTTGACAAAGTTTTAAGGGACGAAGGGAGTAACTTACAATCTTTGCAAATATTAATTTTTATGCAGTACAACATAAAAATGAACCCCCATAGACATTATATACGGAGTACAAGTGATCAAATTGTTACATATGTATTTCTAAGAGTTAACTTTTAAAAAACTAGCGCTTTTATATTTGTTGTATTAGGATATATTTGCAAATAATAATAGTCAAAGATTACATGTTTAAATTTTTCAAGTCAAAACAGGGAGATGGATGAAGTTAATCTATCTATACGTTCAGTAAAGAAGATGATCCTACAGACTACAACACATCCACCAAAAAAACTAACATTTGCAGCACAAGCTGCAAGGACAAATGGCGGTTGAACTCTTGAAGATGGAGCAAGATGTTTTGATTATTGTCTTTTTAGGTGCTTTATTTCTTTTTATTTTTTCATTTTTTGTTGTAAGACTCTTACATTAGGATTGGGTGATGGAAGGTCTGCTTTAACTGTCGTTGGCTCATTTAAGCTCATTATAGAATCAACGAGTTATATTGCTTTTCTGAAGGTGATTAACTCCGAGTCTAGTTTGAGGGGTCAGCAGTTACCTGTGATCCTTGTGTCATTTTAAGGCCTATTTAAATATTGTGATATCAATTTAAGTTCACTTATTCCAAAAAAAACGTGTATTGCTCTACTCATTACACGGATATGTAAAATCTAAACTTCGTTGACTGTGTAGTGTGTGTACAGATGAATTGTTAGATTTTTTTTAAAGAAAAAAAAAAAACGGAACGAAAATAAAGAAAACAAAAACGAACAAAGTAAGAGTCACCCAACCCAAAGTATAGTAAAGAAAACCCCTAAGCATCACAAGCCCAAAATCGAATCTTCAATGTTTCGCTATCGATTGAGACCTAGTCCTCATGACATGTGATCGCTGATTTTTCATTTTGTACATTCTTCGTTGAGTGCTCAAATTTTGTGTGGGCAAGAAATTTTCTTTCGTAACCATCAAAGCTTTATGACAAATAGCCTCATTTGCATCAGAATCCCATAGATCCTCCATCGTCGATGTAGGAACCCTCTTTTTGTTAGATGAATTGTTAGATTTGACCATATGTAAATGTAAATTAATCAATTTGAGACATTCTTAAAAAACGTTTGAAACCAGATTTGGTCAGGTTGCTCAAACTTTACCGGCCCGAGTCTGGACCACGACACACGCGGTTAGCCGATATTCACTGGCTTTCTCCTATTTATGATTTCTCATTAACCAGCAAAGTTTTGGGCCCACAAAGCTAGTTTCCTGGTTGACTGGGCCCGTTTGCCATTTCCCAGGTCGAGTAGGAGTGTAGCTGTGTAGGACGGAAACAAATCTAAACAGAAAATTTGACCCATGCTCAATCATAATAGAAAATAAACAAATTAATAGTCCTACATATCAATTGTACAGAGAAGGGAATCATATACTTCAGCTCAATTGAAAATTGAAAAATAAGTCATCTAACAAACAATATGACTCCGCCATTCAAGCAATATAAGAAAAAACAGAGAGATTGGATGAAGTAAATCTATCTATATGTTCAGTAAAGTAGATGATCCTACAGATTATAAAACATCCACCAAAAAACTTGTGTTTGCAGCGCAAGCCGTAACAACAAAAGTGCAATCAAGGCACCCCAACATTCCACACTTAGAGCAGACCAGCTGTCTTCAAAGCAGCCTCGAAGTCTTCGTCACTTTCCCAAGAGTTGACCTGTATTGTTTGATGTAAATAAAGAATCAGCCATACAAAAATATCTGTGTTCTTAAAGCAAAACACAATTCAGACCCCTCTCCAATGTAATGTTTTCTCTCTCTACAGAGAAAAGGTAAAAAGAGGTCTATTTTTGGAAGTTTGGTTTTGACCCAGTAAAATAAAGGATCATCCCCGCATCTAAGTGGTTAGCGGGGCCTAGCACCTAGATAGTCTTTATTGGAGCCAAATTATATACTACGTATAAAAAACACATAACAAAACAAAAAACCAAGAGAGTCAATCAATACCCGTAATATGGAAATAATCAGGTCAAGAAAAGGGAAGAATGGATGTAATACCTCAGCCACAGGACTGTTGAAGTGGCTCTCAATCTTGGACATCAATATTTTGTCTTTATCATTACAAAGCAAGTTAAAAACAGCACCTATGTCATAATAATAATGTCAAAAGATGAGTGATCACGAATCACAAACCTAAGTTTGATAACAAGCACTAAAGCAGTCATGAGGGAAAAGTTTAAAGTGGGAGTTACCTTTTCGCCCAAAACGACCGGCTCTACCTATCCTATGCAAGTACACATCATAGTCTGGCTCGGATGGATGCTCATATTGCACTGGAAGATCATAATTCACGACCAAATTCACCTAAACAACAATTAAACCATATGATTGGGGTTACCTGATGCCATCCGGACTTCACAAGTAGTACTGTGCAATGCATACCAGGGATTGGTCAAATCCTCGAGCAAGAAGATCCGTTGATATAAGAACATGTGTTAGCCCCTCCTTGAACTCCTTAATAATAGTGTCCCGCTCTTCGTGGTTCAGAGCGCCTTGAATTGTTGTTACCTCATAGCCTAGTTCCACTAGTGATTCGTGCAACATTTTAGCACTATTCCTTGATCGCACAAATATGATTGTCTGTCCCACCTTCTTACCCAGGTCAAGTATTTTATGCTGAACCACCATGATCTTTGAAAGCTCATCGGGACATTGCACCTTATACTGCTTGACAGACTCCAATGAAAGTTCTTCCTTCTTCACAAAAAGCTGGTTGTAATCTTTTACAAACAGGTCTTCGACAATTTTCTTAACAAACTTCTTGACAGATTCATTGAAAGTTGCAGAAAACAAGAGCACCTGACAGTGAATGACAATAATATAATGTCATCATTAAAATCAAATTACTGACTTTAAAAAGTGAAAAGCTCCTGGAGGGAAATTGTTTAATCGTGAGAAAAGGTATGCACCTCTTTTTCTAGAGAAACGTGCATGCCTGATTAACTACAATATACATATAAATATAACTCAGGATCGCAAATTAGATGAAGATGTATCCTAATCCTATAGAATCAAAATGGGGTGGATGAAATGGAAGAATGCGTCAAGATTTCTATGTGATAAAGGTATGCAGATTAAACTTATCGCACAACAATTACACTTGCATTAATATATGGCATAGAGTGTTGGACGGTAAAACAATGTCATATTCAAAAAATGAGTGCGGCTAAGATGTGAATGTTGCGTTGAAAAGACTAGAAAAGACTGTTTAAGGAATGAGGCCAAAAGTGGGAGTACCAGATGTTGAAGATGAGATGTGAGAGTCTCGACTGCACTGATTTGTCCATATGTGTAGAATACGAAATGATGCAGTTGTTAGACAAATTGAGAGGTGGGAGTCGAGGTAAAGAGCGAGCTAGTCATGAGGATTAGAGAGGTCAAGAATTATATGGTACTTCTTCGATTAGATATGAGTACGACTTCGGAGAGGGCAAAGTAGAGAGAGAGAGAGTATTCGGCTGAAGGATTGATCTGTTTTTGTTTCTCCTTTTTTCTCTGTTTAGTATTTTCTCCAATGTAACCGACCCCGAACTCTTGGGATTGATCGGTTTAGTATATAATCTGTATTGTTGTTGTATACATACAAACACAACATTCTAGAGTCCACTACACAACACATATCACGTATATAATCTAAGGTTTATTTAGTTTAACACCAACCAAAGATGATTGATTCAAGGTTTAGTTGAGTTGCTTGCATCATATAGAGGAAAATTAATTCTTAAAGCACTATAACTTATAAAGTTATATTTCCTAGTAGAATGGTTTGATCTCTGACCTGGCAATCGGCTTTGCCATTGACAATGGCCTTCATTATTTTTATAGAGTTGTCCTTAAAGCCACCCTGCAATGGAAGATAGATCAGATATGCGAGTTGCCTTTGTTTTAGGAACCAATATCAGTTAAGCCAATCAAGGATGTTTTTACTTGTGTTGTTTTCAGTCCCAAACAAGACTAGACTCAAACAAACCAAACCAAATCAGATCAGACCAGACTAGACTTTCGTAGTTATAAAATACACAGAGACCAGAATTTACCAGACCAAACCAGACCAGACTAGACTTAAACATACCAGACCAGCAAATTACAGTCCAACTAAAAACATCCTAACACGTCAAGAATCCTTGAAAATCAATTAATTTTCCCTCTAACTCAACCAATTTAATGAAACACCTTTCAAAAAGTAATTTATGTGCGCCACGTTTTTTATTCATTTTGGTAGTTTAGATGGTTGTTGAATTAGCTGAATAAGGTTCTTCAAACAGGAAAATGCTCCAGTTTTCTTGACCATGTAAAATACTTGCACAGTCGCACTCAAGAGCGCATAACCACATAATAGTTAAGAACCTCAGTTGACAGAAAACTAAAGCATGATGTTTAAAAAGCACCAGGTGCTAAGTAAAACCTTAAAGACACACATGCACGCAGCATGCACAACGTGAGAGAAAACTAGAGAAGAAAATACATTCAAAAGAACAAAGATGTTTGATGAACAGGCCTCCACACGTGTTTTGTAAAAAATCGCTATTCAATTATATTAAACACATTACTGACTTGTGCTGATTGGGATGCATAAACTAGACAGGGAAAAAAGTACGAACTGTGGCAGCATTTTTGGATAATGAAAGAGCAACCTAAATTGCATGTATGCTAAATTCAAAAAATAAATATCTGCCTGCTGCAAACTTTTGGATACCAGACACTATCTGTTTCTTTTAGAAAGGAGATCAAAATAGAGGTTCATATGATGACTGACAACATATTGACCATCATGCAAAAATAGAACAACACAATTACCTCTGCTAACATGTGGTCCGCCTCATCAAATACCAGAATTTTCATGCAACTTGTGCCCAGTTTCTTAGCAACAACCCACTTTTTTATTGTCCCAGGGGTACCAATTATGACTTGCGCTGTAATAGGGGGTCGCTTATTAATTGGAACATAGTTGTCCTGGCTTGGTGGTATGGCAAGTTCTGATGTTATACCAGTATATTTTCCCATCTTTAACAAAACTTCCATATTCTGCAACAGAATCCAAGAGAGCATGATTAGAAAGAAAATAGTTTACTATATTATAGAGTTTGATATGCCAATTGACAGTTTCACACCTTTTTGTTAACATTAAATTCTGAATTCCAAATTCCAATAGAACACGTCTATCATCACAGAAAGCATTTTGAAGGCAACCGAACACCAAAGTATTTAACAAAAGTGAAAAGATCAAACACGAGTAAATATAGGAAAAATACCTAAATAAGAGTATCTAAGTTTTAAAATCGTATAGGACTGAGAATAGGATGATCGGACATGACTAACCCTTATTCAAGAATAAAGAACAGGAATGCTTTTTTACAATAATCAAAGAATTAATAATTTACAACAATTCGCTGCCTGATGCCGGCAACCACCACCAGATTGTGGAGTGTGGACACCTATGTTAGGCTTTGGTGAAATTTAATTATATTCGGGAGAAATTCCAGTCACTCCTTACATTCTCAAACAATACCACTCTTAGAACTCTCATTCCTAACACTCACTCCTAACATCGTTGTTCTCATAATGTCCCGCGATTCACTCTACTAAATTAACACCGTTGCCACCATGTACATGATGAAACAATTCCAGTCATAAAACCTGTGTTTATTTAGTATTAAAACCTGTGTTCTAACAAGACTCATCCTATTTAAGTTACTCTTGACATTGTTACTTCTAACACTGACATCGAAAACATTGTCACACATAAGTCATAACACACTTAACTCGTGACATTGCCCCTCTACTGCAATAGTATTGACATTATATCTCTCTGCCACCATGTACATTGTGAAAGAGTGTTGAGCTTTTTAGGGATTTTTTTTTACGAATATGATAAAATACTCCTACTGAGGTATAAAAGATTAAAGGCTCCTATTTTGATACACATGTTATGTTTTACTCCAATCTAGAACCATTTTTATGAAAAAATGGCATCCAGAATGCAAAATCACATAATGCATTCGAATTGGCAACTTTATCAATGTTGTGCATACGATACATTAGTAAATATTGTATACCCTGGTTCAGTCAGATAATATCGTAGTGAAATAATGCAGCAAATATATACACACCTGAATGGCAAGTTCTCTAGTGGGGCATATGCAGAGAGCCTGAGGGGCACCGAGTCTAGGATCAACTCGGCTCAACATTCCCAGCACAAAGCATGTTGTTTTTCCGGATCCATTGTGAGCCTGGGCGATCAGATTCTTGTATGGTGGAGTTACAATCATAGGCAAAGACATGCCTTGAATTTTACTTGGCCTCTCGAAATTCATCTCCACGTATAATCCTCTCAACAACTCCGGTGACAAGTTCAAGTCTTCGAATGTTTTAGCAGACTTATACAGAGTGTCCCCGGATGTAAGCTGATTCACCAAAACCGAACTCACATAGCAACTAATTAACACAAATAAACATAACAGTTATTAATCATTGATACGGGTTAAAATAGAAGTGAACTTACAGTTTGGATACCGTCGTCATCAAGGTTAGAGAGGGATTGGTTGACATTACGGGATTCACTCAACACCAAAGAAGCAATTGCAACTTCAGAGCTAGACTCAGATTGATCCACCTCATCAGACCAACTTTTAGAGAGCTCTGCCATTCTGGCTAATTCAAGAACTTTCTTGATGGTGAAGAATGAAGATGATGACTAAGGCTGATCCCAGAACTTCCTTGATGGGCGAAGAATGAAGATGACCATATGTCCATATATACTGAAATATATTGGGTTGTTGCGTATATTCTACGGCCAAATGTTGCGTATATTCTACGGCCAAATATTTGTACGGAGTATTCAAATTAAAAAAATGTAAACCGAATTTCTATAAATAAAAAAACTCCGTAACACAAATATCTTAATTACCCTTCTTTTAAGAAACGGTCGTTAAGTGAGCGCTGCAGCAAAGGAACGCAAACGCAGGAAAAAACTGGAAGCACGGCAGGACCTGGGAGGGAAGAGCTCAAGAGCAGAGCCAGAGAAAGGAGAAACAGAGAAGGGAGAAAGCAAGAAACGCAGAAAGTCCAATAATCCTTAATGCCTTAGCTCCACATGAGGTTAGTATCCAATTTTTGCATTACATAGTAAGCTTCACTTATATAAGAACACACACAGTTTGACTCGGTTTGGAAGTCATCATGATATCCCAACTTTTAACGAGGAAAGGGCTTTTCTGACTCTGATTGTTTAATCAAATATAAAAAAGCACACACTATATATATGTGTGTGTGTACATATATATACATATGTACCCACAATCTTACGTCATCCTCAGACTGGAGTTTTCCGGCCATCCACTAATCAGTAATCACAATATTCATGTTGCTGCTGGCGGTAGTGGTGATTTCCACCCGGGCGCCGGTCAGTCTGTCTTAGAGCTGAAAGCAGCCACCTTGCGAAATTGGAGAAACCACCCTACTCTGGGTTCTGAAAGATATATACAAATTTAGTCCGAATTATAAATGGACGAATAAATATGCATGATAAAAGACACACTGAAAGGATTTCTGGTGCTATGCAGTAGTAACCCTTTCACACAATCTTCTCCCACACAATCTACTCATGATGCATCTGGAATGTCCTGTTTGCTTGAAAAAGGGAGTTGGTGCTGTTTGATTTGCAGTTTTAGGGCCTTATAAGAGGGCAGGCCAAACATTATTTCTGCAATGGAATACTATTTTGCTTATCTACTTAGTATGACAATTGTAAGTTTTAGAAACTTTGGGTCAGGTGATCATAAATTTATTAGCAAGAATTCCTACCATGGTGCACTTCTGCTAACTCATCAGTAGTTGACAAGATGCTGGGATAAACAACAAAAAGAACTAAAAAAAGATAGACATTGTCCTTCCAATGATCATCAGCCAGAGACAAACAACAAGCAGATAGTAAGTTCAATTCAGAAGGCCAGTTTGGTTATGAGCTTCTCTAGGAGGATAAAACTTTCTGAACTTTTGCTGTAACATCCTTTGGTTGTTTTTTAGCATGTACGCTAGCAACAACACCCATCTTTGAACAATAATCTATAATGGGTAGCGAGCAGCGGTGAAATATGTGTGTGTGCGCGCATATTAACAAAAAATAGATGATTTAAAACTATATATATAGCTGAAAGAAGACACTCAACGTCTATGAGGTTTGCATCAATTTGAGATGCACGACTTTATCCTCAATTCATCCTTTGAGGCTTACTACGCTGTTTATCAGGCTGTGGTCAATTTCTAGGCTAATGCTTTAAAAATACATAGTATTACTAGATGATTTATTAATCTTCTCATTTAACATATTGAAGGTATGCCTGGTTATTGGTCATTACGAAATTTGACGTATTAGTTTTGTTTTTATTTAATCCTATGAAATCTATATTTTGATGTTTTTTGACATGTTTTTTTACCTAATAGAAAAACTTGCAGCTCCGATTCTAGGGGTTGTCAGAAGCAACTAAGGTTTGATTGATCTTGAACTAGTGGGAGAAGATTAGCCAGTGACTAAAATAACACGCAACTCAATTAAGGGAAAAGATTAGCCTAATAAATGTGTTCGCATATACGATTATAAAAAATTGCAACTAGTCCTAGGCTCCTAGGAGTCCTAGCTTCAATCACTAAAAAACACATTGAATGTCGGTCAAAACAGACCTTTAGGGTCGGCCCTGAACGACACAGTTTAAGCAGTTATTAAAAGTCTACTACTTTCTGTATGGGTTCGTGCACCCGTTACCAAATGTTTTTTATAACAATTGTCATGGAACAGTTATCAAAACTATTAATATCGGGCATATAATATAACCGTTATTATAACTTTTATGTAGGGCTAAACTAATCTATATATTTCATCATACAATGTTTTATCAAATATCATTAGTGTAATTCTTTCATCACCGTTTTTTTATATTACAATATAACTTCAACAAAAATAACTCTCAAGATAATTCAGACTACATATTATTAAGTGAAATTAGCGAATAAAAAAAATCAATTCTACATCAATATCATTTTACAACACACTATTAATTATAATACCCACTTAATTTAATATCAAATACTCATATTGCATGTTTGTTATTTTCACAGGAGTAAAGCAAAGCAGACTGCTTTTCACATGCTTTTAATTTACTTTTTTACTTGTGACATTTATTCTGTTTCTATTTTTTCTTAATTATTGATTTTTTCATTAATTAATGTGTAGGCGTTTAAATGTCAAGACTCGTTCATTCAGTGTACAAGAAATCATTGAGACAAATGAGTTCTGAAAATGAATAAAAAGTCATAAGCACGGAGCTGCGGTAGATGCAAAGATATCACGCCTTTTATCATGCTGAAAAGATAACTTATTTTTTTATACTCGTATCAAATTTACATTTTATATAACCATCATCTTTATATTCATCTTTTCATATATAAACAACACAGAGACTTGTTATATTCTGAAAGACCTCAGATACTCGACAGATCATGGAAAAATAAATGAACACGGGATCTTTAAAGAGATGAGAGATAATAAACCTGTTTTATGTTTCAATAAAATTATCCTAAAATATATATAATATTCTGAGTAATGTGCCTACCATCTCTCTCAATGCCATGGGACTTATTCTAATTTACCAAAGACCCAACTCACATCTCACAAAGACCAAAACTTTAACAAGCATACCTTCTTTACTCACAGAAGACAGCAACGGCATTGTAGCCTCGATCTTCCGTCCACGTTTGCTGATTGTCGCCTTTTTGTTGCTTTTGAATAGCAACTTCTCAACCTTATTCACAGATCTCAACCCATAGCGAGTCACAGCATAGTTCCCACAGCATGGTTCCTCGGGCTCAACTGACCCAAGTTGACTTTTGACTCTGCCGTGCCCAAGCAGGCATGAGAAACAACAGTGAGACAATGCAATTACGGTTGCCATCACCCACACCTCACTACCTAATAAAAGAAATAGCAGTTTTTAGTCCCCAGGATGTTTATAAACATAACATGTTTCATGAACCAAAAAGTGAGTGAATCCTTGTTACAAGCTATAGATTCAATGAGATCAAAGACTAACCCATGATTAATGACATTTCTACCTAAATGGTCCTCTAGTGGAGCAGACATGTAGTAGCATGACACCAAATAGGCGAAAATCATGGGATTAGTGGAATTGGAAGTACGATTCAACCCACCACCATAATCAATTCACATAAAATAAGCTTAAGCACCTCACTAGCAATTAATGAAACAAGAAAATTGAAGACAAACTACAATGAACGAAAATTATTCAGGACACAAGAAATTAAACAAGCAGGGTAAAGCACTGGAAACACCTCTTTCTCGGTCGAAGACGCTGGAGGTCGAGGAGGAAGAGAAGCTACTTAAAATTTCTTGCTCTGGGTCGGTGACTAAAAGCTGCTAGCTTGAATTCCAGATCCGGTCTTTTTCCGCCTTACTGATCATGGGTACAGCTATGGACTCGGACGTTCTTCATAGTCAAGCAGGAGGTCAAGCACCAAGCAGGGAGCTTTCAGATGGAGTTTTTGTTGCATTGTTTCGTGTCGTCCATCGGTTTTGAGCAGGCGGGAGACCGGCCAGACCATGGTTTTGGAGAGAAAGGCGGACTGGAGGTCAGGACAGAGACTGATCGAGCTGCTGACTGCCGGTAGAGAAGAAAGAAGCTAGCTTGAATTCCAGATTTCGTCGCTCCGTCTCTTCCTGTTTTTGGAAAGTTCAGACATGGGAGTGGATGGAGTTGCGCCTGTTATTTTTAAGGGGTGTTTAGTAAAGGGTCATTCAACGAAAAAAATGGTGATTTGACCATTTTTTATGATTGAAAATGATATTTGGTCCGTATCCGTACGACACAAGTGTTTTTGGATGGGAGCACTGAAATGAAAAAATTACAAATGAAAAAGTTTTGGTTTAGTATTTTGAAAAATGACGTTTTGTATTAATTTTATGTTCAAACAGCTAAATTATCAAACATGAAACTCCTTCAATTTTATTCCGTTGGTCAAACCCTCTCATTGAATCAGCTATTAAGAATATTTTCTTTTGGATTGAAATTTGCTAGTCTGGTCTGATCTGGTATGATCTGGTCTATTTAAGTCTGGTCTGGTAAACGTCTGGTTTCTGTGTAATTTATAACTATCCAAGTTTGGTCTGGTTTGTTTAAATCTAGTCTGGTTTAGTCAGAGCTGTTTAAGTCTGATCTAATCTGGTGTAAAGACTGAAACCGTCCACTTTGACACAGCTTTTAACTGAATAAACCGCCGTAAATAAATTACACGTACGAGATAAATGTACCTAGGCTAGGCCTGCATTTGGAGCTTTCTGGTCCTCCTCCCTGCCTTCTCCATCACTCTCCTCTCCCTTTCTCAGTTCCTCATATGCTTAAAAACGACGACCCTGTAATCCTCCAAGCTAACAGAAGAAGAGGTACCTGATATCTGCTCTCCTTCAATCTGCGCTCACTATCTCCAACCTTGATTGTGTTGCGTACAGCTCTAACTCCGAGAAGGTAGAAGTAATGGCATTCACTTATTTTTCGTATATGACCTCTTCTCCACTCATTTTCTCTGTTTCTAAATTCTAATTTAGGGTTTATAATTAAAATCGAAGTATTTTTTACCCTCATGTTTTTTCTGGACAAATTTACGGAGTAACGTTTATATATATTTTGAATTTTTTTCTCCATAATTTAAAAACTATTCATATAAGGTGTGTGCGTATCATATAGACTTGTTTAACGTAATTGGTTTGAAGTTTTTTGTGCTGTTTGGCAAGACCTTTAAATTCCAAGGGTTTTCTGTGGTGCTCATTTGGCAAAAGTGCAAAACTATTGCTACTATCTATATCTAGGGAAGTTATGGTGTTTTTGGCCTTTGAATTTACGGTGATGTGATATCATAGCCATAGCACATGGCTCAAGAGCTGAAGAAGTAGCTGCGTGATATCAGTATATCACACAGAATGAGGCCTTTTGCTTTACATTATGATATGAAGCAGAATCTGGGCTGGGAAGAAGAGGGGCAGAAGCCCCCGTGGGTTTACCGAAGGCGGGACGGGCTTGAGCCCACCTTCGTGGGCTGGTTGCGGGCTGTTTAATTAATATTTATTCTTTTTATTTTTCTTGATTTGTTTCCTTTTGGAGTTAATTAGGATTTCTAATATGTGTTTCCTATTAGGAGTTAATTAGGATATCTATTATTTCTTTCCTATTTGAAGTTGATTAGGATCTTTATTATTCTGTTTCCTAGTTGGAGTTGATTAGGATCTCTAGGATTTTGTTTCCTAGTTTAAGAGTTTGTAGATGGGTATTTAAACCCCTTGTTAGGATTCATTCTTGCTAATCTTGGAATAAAAGTTGGTTTAGCCTTTTGGCTCTGGGCAACGGTATTTATTTATCGTTGATTATCGGGCAACGGTTCACCCCGTTGATTGTTATTTTTCTGTTCTTATCAATTGGTCCGACCTGTCGGATCCCGTCCCGCCGGAATGACGAGATCTATCAGTGAACATTTGTCAGAGATGGTGGCCAAGCAAATTTGGATGAATCAAACCCTAGAGGAGCACGACGTGCGTCTGACAGAGATCGCTGCATCCCTGGCAGCGCTTATCAAGGCATTCATTCCGCCAGTCATGACGGAAACAAGCCCTGACGCGGTTGGCAGCCCCACCGTATTTGCGCCCAGCAGCGACGGAGAGCCGCACAGCGTCATTTCCTCCTTGACTGCGCTCACAAAGGCTCTCGCGCCGTCAGCGGCAGAGGAGAATTCATCAGCGATGGCTTCACTTGACGCGGCAGCAACATCCACATTCGGAACCGGACTGTGCAACACTTCTCTCATGACGCTGCCCCCGTTTGACGGAGAAAACCCGATCGGTTGGGTTGCTAGGGCTGAGCATCAAATCGAACTGAGCTGTACTCCGCCGGGAAAGAAGGTGGCAGCCATTGTAGTTGTGATGGAAGGGTCAGCCCTGTACCGATTGACCTCGTTACGGGCACGAAAGTCGGGCATGTCATGGGATGAGCTTACACAAGCATTGGTGGCTCGTTTTGACTCACGGTTTAAGGGCAATTGCTTTGAACGGCTGTCCGGAGGCAAGCAGACAAGGACTGTGGAGGAGTACATCTCAATTTTTCCTAAAGATACTGGGCAGCCACTGGGAACAAATGTCAGCCGGTTTCCGGATTTCAACCTTGAGGACAAGTTTTTTTCGAAGGGGGATGGAATTGATATGAAGCAGAATCTGGGCTTGGAAGAAGAGGGGCAGAAGCCCCCGTGGGTTTACCGAAGGCGGGACGGGCTTGAGCCCACCTTCGTGGGCTGGTTGCGGGCTGTTTAATTAATATTTATTCTTTTTATTTTTCTTGATTTGTTTCCTTTTGGAGTTAATTAGGATTTCGAATATGTGTTTCCTATTAGGAGTTAATTAGGATTTCTCTTATTTCTTTCCTATTTGAAGTTGATTAGGATCTTTATTATTCTGTTTCCTAGTTGGAGTTGATTAGGATCTCTAGGATTTTGTTTCCTAGTTTAAGAGTTAGTAGATGGGTATTTAAACCCCTTGTTAGGATTCATTCTTGCTAATCTTGGAATAAAAGTTGGTTTAGCCTTTTGGCTCTGGGCAACGGTATTTATTTATCGTTGATTATCGGGCAACGGTTCACCCCGTTGATTGTTATTTTTCTGTTCTTATCACATTATTATTCATATTTCTTGTTGAAGTTTTCAATAGATTGGAAACTGATATTCTTTCTTTGCAGAAGAAAAATGGAGCATTTGATGGAAATTGACACAGATGACGACTTTCCTCAGTTCACCTTAGCAGAGGTAAACAGTAAACTCATACTCATATATTTGGAACTTCCAATATTATTTTCTCTCCCCCATTTAATTTCAAGTTTACTTATCTGGCATTTAATGTCGTATAAGGAATGTGATATCCCTTTTGGGATGAATATATAATAGGATTTGGCAAACTAGCACTGGGTAAATGAATAATTTTTATGTTGTACTACTGTAGATCAATATAGTCGAAGAAGAAAGTAGACATTGAAACAAATGGCTTGAGAGAGATTTATAGTATAGTTGCGGCTGATTGTGGAATAATACAAGGATGAAAATCATCTATATCCAAACACATACTTTGCTGCTTAATTTGGAACAAGTTTTTATTTGAGCATATACATGAATAGAGTGCCTTTGGTTTGACTTATTTTCAAGGAACAAGTGTCTTTTTAGAGGAAGAGAATAAATTTTGTTTCAGGACTGTTTGAATGGAAAACGGAAGAAGTGCTTTTAACAGTCAATTAGAGTGCCTTTGATTTGACTTATCTTCAAATGCTTATTAAGAGAAGCAGCGTATTGATGCATAATCAGAAAAACACTCTAAGTGCTAAACGAGATAGGCTCTTCTGATAAAAGCACTTACGGAGTTATACCATTACTATAAGTTATTCGAAACTGGGCCATATTAACGCAGTCTTGCTCAAACAGATTCTAGAAATGGAGAGCATGTTTAAGAGCAAGGGTGAAAAGACTTTTGATCAAGAGATCTGTGAAGAGCTTGCTGCAAAGTTCAGGTAAAGCTTCAACTATGCTATGTGCCATCCATCTGCTTTGCCACTTTACTTTCATGCTACTTACTAAGGTACTTCTCCCTCTCTCTCTCTCACAGTTCCTCACCCTATCGGTCTGGAAAATCTTTGATATCTTGGGAACAGGTTTTTCCGTGATTTCCCTACGATTTTCTATCCCAGCAATGTTACAGCTATAATCTCTGGCTAACAGTTCTTGCCATTTTTTTAAGGTTAAAACTTGGTTCCACAACAAGAAGCAAGACGGGCTGATGAAGAAAGATACTCTATTATCTCTCATTGACAAAACATGTGTGACTCCTCATTCTGTAATAAGACCAAAGAAAACTGTCTCATCCGTTCGGAAGCTAGCCTCACAATATGCATCTGAAAAATACGAGAAGCCCATTGGTAATTTGAGCTTTAGTAGTTATTCATAATTGTGCAACAACCTTGCCATTAACTTTACTCATGATACTTGTTTGGCATTCTTAAAGTAGTACCACCTCATCTAAAAACTGATTCTTGTTTCACCAAGGCGCTACTTTGATAAAGTACAACTATTACAAATAATCTGTTCTAGCTATAGTTTTAAACTTATTTCTCGGTTCTTTTAACTAAATATACTTTACTTGTTGGGGTTACCTATTATTTTTAAATACATTAAGTATGATAAAATCAGACACTACAGTTCAAAGGGAACTCTTTTTTGGCAAAACATTAAGTTTTCATAAATGACTCCTTTTCTGGATGGAGCCATGGAGGGAGTAATAATTTGGAAAGTATATAATTGACAAATTGAACTCTGCAGGTGAAAGGGCAGCAGAGCTCTCGGACTTGGCTTTTGAAGCTCTCTCGGCGAAGGACTTAGCTTGGTTAGAACTTTTATGGCATTCTTATGTTCCTTTTTCTTTCTCATTTTCCTATGTCTGTTCCATTTCATCCGAATCTCTTCCCAATAACATAGGAGCTTCTTTTAGAGTTTGTTTGGTTCTGGGGTTTTGGAAGACAAAGATAGGGGTGGTTCGGTAAGGTAAATCGAATTTTTAAATTCATGCCGAAATGTAGGTTTATGTAAATGCCATACCATTAACATACAGAAAATATCGGTATACCGGATTTCGGTATGCCGCAACTTCGGTATGATATACAAGTTTGCAGCCCATACCATTTTATACCGAAATTTCGATACACTGCATTTCATTCATGGTTTGGTATAAAACCATGGAATACTGAACATCCAATATGCTCAATTTTAATATGCCAAAAGTAGTATTGAACATCAATTGTATAGCGTTACATCAAAATTAAAATAGAATATTTAAATATAAAGTCTTTTGGGATTAAGGCTTGGATGTTACTGATGTTGTTGATTAGAAAATATTAAAATAGTCTCAATTGCTGACATAATCTACATTAAAAGTCAAAGTAGTAATCCAACAAAAGTAAAAGGTAATAATGTTTGTAATAAGAGGTCTTTGGACTGTTGTAACTCCAAAAGGCACGTAGACTATGCTTCAATCCTGCATTCCTTTACGTGAAAATAAAGCTTATTTATGGTTTGTAAATCTCCAACTTTACGTATTTAGAGAAGCTATTGAAAATGTCAATATCTACACTTTTAACAGCGTATATTGGCTTGTCAGAGCATCTCCAATGGTAAAATGTGCACGGTGCACATGTGGCATGAGAAATGGCCACATAAATAATAGTAAATAAATTCTTTCTCTCCTTATTTGAATGATTTTATACAGTTTTGGTAAGTTTTTCTCCACAATGTCAAGGAGACCGTCTAGATGTTGACATTGTTGTTGACATTGCAGGGAAAAACTTACCAAAATTGTATAAAATCATTCAAATAAGGAGAGAAATAATTTATATGCCAATATTTATGTGGCTATCACTCATGCCACATGTGCACCGTGCACATTATAGCATTGGAGATGCTCTCAGGCTATAAAACAATATCAATCTCATGTTTTTTTGTTTTTTTTTGTTTTTTTTTGTTTTTTGTATCAACCGCATGCTTTGACGCATTCAACTCTTCAACGTTCATGATTGGAAGATAGAAAGAAATCTCATAGCATATACATCAGGAAACATGGATAATAACTCTTTCCAGCGACATACATATAAGGCCTGATAAACATTAATAAAACACTTCGTACATGAGAAATAAAAAATTAACATCCTCAACAATTACGTTAAGGATATGAGAGACACAAATAAAGTCTAAAGACATCATTGAATAAAACAATCAGTTATGGGAAATCATCAATCAAGATGACAGTCGAAATGTAGAACATGTCCATAAGAAAAATCATACTACCTCCGTCCCTCTAACAATGGGACATGAGGAAGTGGTGCGGTTATTATGAAAAGTGGGTTTATGTGGTTGATATTGAATTGATAAAATAAGAATAAAGTAAGAATGATTTAGAACCACACAACTTATGCCAAATTTGGTTTGGGACAATCTTTGCGGGATGGACCGAACAGATGGGACAATCTAGTGGGACAGAGGGAGTAATAGTTATTACAAACTTTGTATGAATTAAATAAAAAAGTACTAAAGACATTATTGAATAAAAAAGATTAAAAGTACCTTATCGTTAGTGTACTTAAGGCATAATTTTTACACTGCTCTTTACCCCTACAATAGTACTTCTATATTTTGTGAAAAGCATGATCATGCAAATATAGACATACTAAACAGTGACTGTTAAAAGATCATTTGTCTAAATTACTTTTTTCTTATGTATTTTTCTAACCCCAGCAAAAGTGATCAACAGGTAGCTCATGGTCCAGGTTTACCTAATATTTGCCAGTCAATTTATTTTTAAGACACTCACTAATCATAAGGTATAGGAACACCATTCATTTTGGCAGTTCCATTTGGCCACTCAAGCAGTGCAACTATATGAAAGCTGTTCAATTTGATATTCACAGCTCTACATAGCTTAGATAAGAAAGATTTCTAGGAAGCTTTTATCCCATTTGTCTATTATTGTCTAGATTGTCCCATACTCCCATTTTTCTTATGCATTCTACTGCTCCAAGTGAACTTAGCCAAGCATAGAACTATCCATGACAACATTCTTGTTTAAAATTGAATATCAAGTTTATATTTATGGAACATATCAAATTAATGCAGTTGTACTTGTATACACAAAATAATATATATGGAAAACTGTATTTCAGCAATATAGCGTGATTCCGAAGTAGTACATGTGACAAATGGCACAAAAGTCTTTAAAGAATCAAATCAAAAGATCTTATCCACTTTATTGCCAGAAACTCTGCGCACAGAGTGCTAGTACAGGGTCTAGGTATAATATGGAAATTTCTTATTAAAGGACATATATTCAATTTGTTAATACTAATGGGAGAATACCTTGTGTGTTGTTGAACCCTATGGAAATGGTGCAACACAGCTAGCCTTCTTTGAAGATAAGACTCTCCTAATATACGAAACACAGCGCAATCAAATGCCGAAGAGAGGCAAAGACAAGATCAAAACTTTCTTATCGTCTGTCCATAAGCTTTCACAGTCAAATGATAGAGGTCGTCAATGGAGTTCCACTTCTGGACTGCCGTTTGTCATGCTTCACGTATTGTCACTTCTCACTAGTCTTCTGCTGCCGTGAACTTGTGAGAAGCTTAGCTGCTCAGGGAGTTCACGGTAGGGTATGAGTGTGGGACTCAAAGTGTTGGTTTCTAACTTTGGGCCTTAATAATTTTACTACATTCATCGAACTATTTATTTGATTGGGCCTTCGGTATTACCGGTATACTAAATCATGCCAAAACATTATGTTATTCTGGTATATACCATTATCGTATAGATATAATTCAGTATGGCACCACACTGTACTGAAAATTCGGTATGCCTAAAGTTTCAGTAAAATTGGGTTTTTCGGTATGGTATGGACTATAGCAAAATTTCGGTATACTTCCCCACCCCTAGGCAGGGAAAGGGAGGAGTAGTATTTGCTTTTCAATTAATTTCTACATTTAGATGGATGGATATAAATTTAAGTATATATATTTGGTAAAACACATGATCTTATTAATCATATCTTAGTAACACAGAGATAAATGAGTAAAATAAAAGTCAAAATCCTCCTCTCCTCTTCCCTCCAAAATCTGCAAACCAAACAATCCCTTAGTTCTAATTTGATTTTGGATTTTCTGAGGGTAGGGAAATGGAGGATCTATATATTTAAAAAATGATTTATAAACTTAGATATATGATTAAAAATAATGTAATGTTAAAAAACTATGTAGACGTACATGTTCCAAGTCATCCAACTAATAATAAACTTTATAATCTAAAAATAGCGAACTAAATTAGTAAAATAGAACTCAATCCTCCCCTCCTCTTCCCTCTGAAAATGTTGAGCCAATGAAGCCCTCTTAGTGACACACTGAGAATACTACTCATCAATAGTGTACATAATCATTTTAATTAAGCTAGCTTGTTTTTTGAACTGTTTATGCGGGAAAGTATGCTTTATAATTAAACTATTTTCCTGAAGTAACATTATAAGATTGAACCCATTGTCGTGAAGTAATATTACAACAATGGGTAAATTAGTCATTTACTTTCATCTTGACTCCATTCTGTTTCAATTTGATTTTCTTCCTCATATTTAATGTCAGTGAACAAATCTGACTGTTCTTTGTCAAGAACGAGGGCCAAATGGAGATTCTTTATATGTCTTATCAGAGCTCATGGTCATCTCTTAGTATATAGGTTTCCTTTTTTTCCCTCGTCGTTGATGCAGAATAGATAGATTTGTTCACAGGAGATTAACCTCAAAAAACATGAAAGTCAAGATCAAAATGTGGTCCAAAATATAAGAGTCAAGAATTAAATGTGACAAGATTTATTCTCCTGTTTCCAGGTATGATGTTGCTACATTCCTCAACTATCGAGTTACTCATTCGGGTGAACTTGTGAGATTTGTGCACCTTTTTAGTTTATTTTGCTAATCACAGTATGACATGCTCATTAAGTCATTAGTTGAGGGTCAATGATGATTATTACTTGTAATTATTTATTTAATTTAATATTTAAGAATAAAAACATCATGCTGGATGGTCGCAGGAGGTCCGTGTGAGATTTGCTGGATTCAGGAACGACCAAGATGAGTGGGTGAGCATTAGAAAGGGAGTTCGTGAGCGTTCGATCCCCCTAGCTCCATCAGAATGTGAGAAAGTGGAGCCTGGTGATCTTGTACTATGCTTCAGGGTATGTATGCAACTATGTACACACACAAACTAGGGATTTCTATCTCTACCTAAACACAAAAGTATCTACAAGACTACACCAGTTGACACACTGATGACATTTCCAGGAAAATGAAGATTATGGATATGCTTTATACTGTGACGCACACATTGTTGAAATTGAAAGAAATCCACATGATATCACAGCTTGCACGTGCATCTTTGTTGTTCGGTATGACTTTGATAACTTTGAGGTAAATGCATAAGAGCCTGTTTGCTCTTACATTTAGGTGAACTGAAAACTAGTGAATAGCCTGCAAAAGAACTTTTAGGACGCTCTTCATGGGTTTATGTGTCTAATTTCTTGGGTATGATGGTTAAATGGGTGTTTGGAATTGATTCCGCTTCCGCTTCTATTTTAAAAGCGGAAGTGGAACCAGAATCAGATTTTGAGAAGCTGTTCATCCCCAACTTCTTAGGAACTGCTTCTAGGAGCGATTCAGAGCACTTTTTTTAAACATCAGTTAGTCCTTCATCTAAATTGATTCACAAAAACGAGTTGTTACTTAACGGTGTTAGCTTTTCATTATGTAGTTCATTTTTTAAGTGTCAAAGTTGTGATTATATGTATAATATTCAAACTTGCAATTATTGATGCCAAATTTAGAACTCTCTTGAGAACACATAAGAATATAAATGTCTTACATAAACATAAAGGAAAAAACTTTGGAAAAATTCGCATAAATAATCCCAACTATTTGTGTTCTTCTTATATTAATCCCAATTATTGATTATTCCAGTATAAGGCCTATCTTCTCATATTGAACCAGTGACCTGCCAGAACTCATTCTGCCGGTCACTCAGCCACGTGACTTGCAGTAATTGGACTTCATATTTTTCCCCTTTTCTTTTTGCTTTTTCCCTATCCTTTTTTTGACCTGGTTGTTCTTCTCTCCCCTCTCGGCAAGTCTGCTCCGTTGAGTGCCCCTTTTCCCAGCGACTCTCTCTCAGTGAGTCTCCCTAGCTAGACTCCTTTTCTTTTTTCTTTTCTCGGTTCTTTCGCACGTCACCTTTTTTTCTTCCACTCAGCTTTCCTTTCCTTCTCTAACTTCGTTTTCTTCTTTTGTTTTTTCCTGCTTACTTTCCGATGGCCGTTCCTAAATTCGAGATTTGGTAAGTACTGCAATGTAGTCTTTGGATTGGAGCTTGTTCGGTTGGGGTCCATGGTGAAGAAATGATTTGATTTTTTTGTTTTTAGCTAGTTGCCGGAACTTGGTCGGTGCTTCGCCAGGAAGACCACCAAAGTAATGAATTCTCGATTTCCCTAGACATTGCTGCCATGAGGGATGTGCTTTTATTTTTGGTTCCCGTCAATTGTATCTGGTGGGATTAAAAAAGCTAAACAAAGAAAACTATGAAAATCATGGAGAAGAACTCAAGGAGACAATAACCTATAATCCAATATCTGTGACTGTTACTATGGATCAGAATCGTATTATGAATACGATATTAAAAAGATACATGGAAGGGGGGGAAGTGCAGACAAGAACAACAAAGAGGGGGTGGCTACTGATCGACGGCAACGAACTTTCTGGACCATGTTTTATTCTTTTCTTCTATTTTTATTTTTATGTTTTACCTGTTTAGTAAGTACCAGGTCAACCGGGATCAATACGAGAAGACTACATATGAAGTTCGAATTATTCTTGAATTACGCATATTTGAGATTAATATAAGAAGATCGCTATAGTTAGGATTATTCGTGTGAATTTTTCCAAAAACTTTTAATAATATGTTTCTTGGAAATAATATTTTATAGGAAAAAACAAGATAACGGGGAGGATAAGGATGAAGAAGCCATATCATGGTGTCTACTGTCTAGGTTCAAAACTTTCATTCCGTATCATCAAGGTTTAATTTCTTTTAAATATGAAAAGGGGGGATGAAGGCTTTCTATTCTTGCCTCCCGTCACTTTATTGGACATTTTTATCCCCTTTTCCTTTCATCCTCTCCAGTTCAAGAAAGGCCCAAAACTAGTATTTTACTTCAAATCAATTTTGAAGGGTTACCTTATCTGAATGGGTCTTGCAAGAAAACATAATTTCATATTGAGCTCCGAATACACGCTATTGGAATGGGTGGCTCCTACTACTAGATCCCCCTTAAGAACCGCTCGTGAGAGTTCCCTGCGCAAGGCTCAAGTGGGGAAGGCCAAAGAAGAAGAAAGAGTAGATGAAAAAGAGGACAAAAGTGAAAAGAAAACTGAAAAAGGAGATGAAACGCAGCAGAGGTGACTGCGAGGAATGAAAAAGAAGACAGAGGAACCTCCGCGTAAGGCTGAAATGTTTGACTTTTTAAATCATAAATATTTGTAAAAAAAAGTGTCATATAATTGATGTGTGATAATAAAAGTAAGGATTTATACATTATTTAAAAAAAACTGTGCTGAGTGAATATATTGACGGTGCTGGGTTGCAGAGAAAAACTGATTGACTGAGTGAATACGTATGAAATGCTTGTAAATTTGATTTATTGACGGGAGCGGGTTGTGGGCAGCCTAAGACCATATCATTTGACTGCGGGTTTCCACATTTATTATCATTTGGATTGAACACTATTGCTAATGACAGTTGCCTGCTACACTTGACAGGACAAAGTAGAAAGTAACAAGATATGCTGCAGACCTGCCAAATAAGGTAATTCGCAAGTTAAAGGTTCCCCCACTGGGTACAGGTTTCCTGTGCATTAACAAGGACTTGAGAGGATTTAAAACTTGTTTCTTAGTGCCTTTTTAATGTATGCGCTTGTTTGGATGCTGTGATATTTAGCGGTAAATGAAAATTTTCATTGTAAAATCCTCTTTTCCTAGGAGCGCAACAAGCTAGCCATTGACACTCGCCAATGAACTTGTGGGACTTTGGTGTATGGATTGACCTTGTATCCCCAATAATGTCTGCAGTGAGTATTCGAGCATATGGTCGGTGTACAAAATATCAATATTTTGGTCTCTATTTATTCACTTCCTTCAACTTGATTTACGTTTTCAAGCTGGATAAATGGTCGAAAATTATACTATCATCTTTGGAAAGTTTCAGTCAAGGAAATTCACCATAGTAGTCCGATAGTTGAATGAGATTTTCGACATGCTTCACTCAATGACTTAGGAGTCTTTTTAAATCGTCAAAGTGTAAAAGTCGATATAACTCATTAGGATGTTTTTATTGGATTGTTTTCAGTCCCAAACTTAAACAGACTCGACTTCCATAGTTATAAAATGCAACAAGATCAGATATTTATCATACCAGTTCAGACCAGATCATACTTAAACAGATGAGACCAAATCAGATCAGCAAATTCTAGTCCAAGTAAAAACATCTTTAATCTTTACTCTCTAACATTAACTTTGTCGCCTTGTTTTTTTCACAAGAGAAGTGGAATGATTATTATGTGTAGTAATTTTACATATCAAAACCAACCACATGATATCTTAATTAATCTATTGATACCAAAAGGTTTAAATGTCCCCAGGTTGTTTTAGAGGTGTTAGGTCTGGAAAAAATGGAGTACATGAACGCAAACACTTGGAGTAACAATTGTGATAGCAGTCATCAGAACTCAGAAGTAATTTTGAATGAATTCGGCGATGAAGCCTACTTATATTGTACTTATATTGTGCTAAGCCTGTAATTTCAGTGCAATGAAATTGTCAAGAATGTATCCTCTCAACTTAAATAATTGTGTAAACTGTTAAATGGAAACTGGCCGATGCAACCATCATTAGGTAAAAGTAATAAGAGCATGATCAATGCAATAGTTTGGAGTCCAAATTAATGTGCCAGATGTCAAATAAATAAAAGATTTCAAATACCCACAATACAAAATAAAGTGTTTAATTAGATGTTCGGTTTTAGCGACTAGTAGATAATAAGATATAGGAAAAACTGTCAAATAGGTCCTCGAACTTTCATAAAAAGGTCAAATAAGTCCTTATATAGAAGGTTCTTTCCGGCCGTCGCGATTTGGGACGGTTCTTGGTGGAATTTTTTGATGAAATTTTTTGAGCATCTTATTCATCAAGTCTAGTTTACTCATACCAAATTTCAGCTAAAACTTCAATCGGGAACACATTCAAATTAATTCTTGAAGATAACTGCGCATTTAACTGCACAGTTAATGTAAGAGTCTTGCAAAACAAAGCGTACATGACGCACAAAACATGTAATTCGAAGTAAAAACACAAACAAAGTAAAACAGAAATAGAAAAAGTCGACCAAACCCTATTCGCACACTTCCTCCATGGCGGCGGCTCAGGAGGATGACGGATTAACACCTCTTCGTCTTCCTTCACCCGTAGGCTCCTGCTCGGGACCTCTTCCTCGCCCACAGCCTTCTCGTCCAGAATCAAATAGCCCTCATCACCCCTGAGCATCGTGTTATCACAAACCCGAGCCGATGTCTTGCTGCAATCGATCATACCTGCGGCGCCGGAGTTTCGCATCATCTCAATTCTGTCCACACCCTCGGTGCCGCCATTGAAAGAGCTCGTCAGAAAAGAACCTGTTCGCTCTGTTCCTGACTCGTCATCGTCCAACGTCCGAGACCCACGACCAACCTGCACAAACCTACCAGTAGAAACAGAGGCCAAACACACCACCCGAAAAACTTGAGGCCGAAGCCGATGCAAAACAGCGCACAAGGATCCCGCGATGGCCAAAGCCGATTTTTTAGTGAGGGTCGGCGCTAGCAACTAAACCCTAAGGGTATGTTTGGTTCAAGGAATGTCAGATTACCATGGGAATGTTAGATGACCGGGTATGTTAGATAGATGAGAATGTGATTAATGTGTAAACCATTTGTGTTTGGTAACAATTAAGGGAATGTGACATTAAGTTGTTTGGTTGAATGATATCTTATATTGCATATTTGGTGAATTACTTAAATACCCTTTAAATATTTGTCTCTTAACACGTTAAACTTATTACAACCTATAATTAAAGTAATTAAAATTATAAAAAATAAAACATCTTCATAATAATTAAAATCAAAACTAGTTGAATTAATTTTAAGCAAAGTATGTCTAGTTGCACAAATGACTAATTGACTGATTTCTAAAAGTTGGGGTGCCCAATTGAGTGTTTTTCAAGTATGAGGGCCTAATTGCTATTTTCGTTATAGTACAGGGGCCTATTTGATAGTTTTCTCTAAAGAAAAAATTATATGAAAATAGCTAGAATAGTCATCTATAGCAATTTTAACCAATTCATCCAGAAAAGCATTTTTAGTCTTACTTATATTGACTGTTACACAACTTAGCGTGTGATATCAAAAATTATGTGTTTAGTAAAAATGTTAGCTAATAAACCTAAAATAGAGATTAAAAAAGAGGATCTAAATGTGTGGAAATTAAAAGAAATTCTATAAGAAATATGCTACAAAAATACTACTGGTACACGCCGGCTTACACAAATGACTAGTCGTGAACATTAGTACACCAAATTGTGCATTTTGAGTTTAAGTAGCCATAAAAAGAAGATATGATTCACCTGCTCTACTTAGAAGAAGCTTAAAGAAAATTAAAAGAGGATTAATCATAAACTACCAAGTAAGAATTATATAAAGTAAGAAAATAAAGGATTAATTTCATACACTACCATTTATTCAAAAATGTATAAAGTAATGCAAAACGGTAGGGAGTCATGTGCATTATGAATTGAATAAACAATATTTGATGCGGTCATATAATGAAGTGCGGTTTTTTGTGAAGAAAAGTAATAAGCAACTGGGAATCTCAGAAAACCTAAGAGCCAAGTAGGTTTAAGATGCCCGGGCATGTGATTGCTTAATACACTTTTGGGAATGTAACATTCCCAAAAAAATATCAAACCCACCAACCAAACACATGTATCTCACAACCCGGACATCGGATTCCGGCCTTTATAACATATCACCTCAAACCAAACGGTGCCTAAGCAGGGGCGGAGCCAGGATTTGATGATAGGGGGGGGGGGGGGGCAGGTCAAGAACGAACGCAAGCAATAAAATGTACTACGTATACTTCGAGCTCGAAACAAAACCTTATAGATTTATTTTTTCACTAATTAAAGATGACTTAAGTAATAAATTTAAAATTATATATATGATATTTCTATCAACCATATATAATAATACTATGTATCACTTTAATTTAATACTACATATAATATATATTATTATAAAGTTTATATTACATGTATATTAACATATAACTATCCATACACAACTAAATCATCAAGTAAGTACTAAAACATTACAAATGAAAAGGAAAACTTCAAAACCATTCACAAGTAAAATACGTAAATAAATTACTTGAAGATAAACTCCATGAACTAAAAGATTAAAAAGGACCTAGGAATAAGCAGATAAATATTAACTACTCGTAAAACATTAAAAAGGACATATGAAATACTTAGATAATACTAATAATACTATTTAAAAATAAAATACTTGGGAGGGGCCAAGGCCCCCTACCTTGTTGATAGTTCCGTCCCTAAGGGGCTAAGGAGATGACCGCTTATTATTCATTTGTCACTTGATTATATACTTACAAAGTTCTATATTTATCAAATTAATAATAAGTTTAGTTAGTTGTATTATGCCGTGCAATGCACGAGTCGATTGAGTAGTGCTTTTAAGTTTTTAAATGTAATAAATGTACAAATAACTTTAGTGATTAAAGCAAAACATTAAAAGCATACCTTATTAACATTTCAATTATTTCAGTGTAGCTTTTGTGTTTCATTTTTTGGGATGAAAAAATGAACTTGGTAAAAGGACGTGACATTAGTCGTCGTGATCTCTAGAACACTCAGCCAAAATACCATGGCAATGAGGCGGGAGGGGATCCACCGGAAAAATGAAATCCATACAAGTGTTTAAAAAATCATGCAGGGAAGCAACCTGGCCACATGACCGGGTCATTGGTCAACCCGTATCCGATGGGTCAACCAGGTCAAGGCCGGAAAACCGATCAAAACTATACGACCGTATAATAATAAACATATAATTTTATACAAAATAAAAATAAAAGGTAGTTATTGTCATACTAATAAACTAATGGTCATCTTGTTATGCATTTAAATCAGTCTCATAATATTCCAAAATATAATTTTGATCTTGTTAAAGTATATAATGGTACTCCTTCCATCCCAAAATGGTTGGCCAAATTTCCTTTTTTGGCCGTCCAAAAAAGGTTGATCATTTCCATTTAAATATGTGGCTAAAGTTAATTCTCTCTCCTCTGCACAAATTTTAACCACATAGTTTTTACTTTATTAATCTACGTGCAAGTCAACATTGGCCAACGATTTTGGGACGGAGGGAGTATTTGTTTTATTTATTGTACATTTATAATATAATTTGACATGATTTCCTTCTTAAATGAATATATACATATATTACATATTTTATATTTTTAGGGTTTTGTAGTTGCGGTTTTTTTGGTTTAAAAGAGCTTACAAAATAGAAAAATGTTATTTTTTTTAGGAGAAATCAAACAAACCCAGGGTTTTCCGGTTTTTCAGGGTCTGGATTTGAACTGTGTCGACCGTTTTTTAGCCACTTTCGAGTTTTTAGCTAACCAAACCGAATTTTGGTCCGAATTGTCGAATTCCCGGCCAACCCTGCCTGTCCTGTTCAATTGTTTAAAAATTGGTAGATATTGGGATAGGGTCCTTAGTTCCTTACTTCAATTTGGCAGATATTGACATCTTCCATGCAATATCAGAAAACATATGAGCCTATCAATGTAATTAATCCACAACATGTTATCATGAAGAATGATAATGATTCTACTATAATATAAGAGAACCTTGACCCCTAATTATGCCAATGTATTCTGTAGTAAGAATGAGCAATATCCAATTTAAAATGGAAACCCTAAACCGAGACCGATTACATATCAGTTGTGTGGTTGTATTTTTTTGGGTTTGATTTGATACCCGCACGGGTGATACCCGCACGGGTAGCTCAACGATGGTTGAGTGAGGTTGTTAGATTGAGGTCTCAAGTTCAATTCCCGGCAGTGTCAGGCGGCAGTGTCAGAGTTTCATCCAATGTGGTGGCTCCTTGTGCGCACCCAGCCCTGAACCATCTCACTCATAAACCGTTTAAGATGATATCATAACTTACTCCTCCACCATTCTGTTGGGTCGGGTGTGGAGGGGCTTGGGGTGGATGATTCCATCTTTTGGATTGGTTTGATTTTTGATCTGAAATCAAAGTATAATAGCTGATTGGATTTTGCCTTTAGAAACATGGAATTACGGTTTCATTTACTCCGTATTTGATTTGTTTCAATTCCGTTTCTAATTTTAGTTTTTTTACAAAAGAAAATTGTAATTTGACTAAGGGGGTGTTTGGTAAATGGCGTTTCAGCCAAAAAATGGCGGTTTGACCATTTTTTGCGTTTACGATAAGTGAAAACGTTGTTTGATAAATAGCGGTTCAGTATATCCTTTTTGGACGGAACCGCTGAAATGAAAACGCGGCAAATAGGAGAGTTTCAGGTTATCGTTTTGAAAAATGGCATTTTCTATTGATTTTATGGCCAAATAGCTAAATTATCAAACAACTTCTGACACCCAGCCAATTTATTCCGATAGTCAAGCCCTCTGATTGAATTCGCTATTTACAACTCGCTAACATAATCGGCTATCCGCTAATCGCTAAATGCCAAACACACCCTAAAAATGACACAAAATTAAAACAAACATTCAACATACGACACCAAAAACTTGCTATAAACATAGTGTACCATATGACTGAAGCTTTGACTGAATATAGATTGAAACATCTGTATATAGAAACTTTAACGATTTCACTAATTTGAATCAATGCCTCCAATTTCAACATTATCAAATTGGTTCTTAATAATGACAAAGAACAAAAGAGAGTTCTTACTCACTGGAAGATACTTGTTACAGAGTGTTATACGTATCAGCAAAGGGTATCTTCTGCCAACCAGAATGAGAAGAAAAGTTGGGAAAAAAATTGACATCTGTAAAGCAGAAACACAAAAAAAAAAACAAAAATTCCTTTTGTACACCTTTTTATACACATCAGTACACCCCATTGTCTGTGAGAGTTTTTTTTGTCTGTGAATGCCACTTCACAGACAAAATCTGACTTGTTTTGTCTGTAGAATTTTCCACAGACAAAATAAGTCAGGTTTTGTCTGTGAACTGGCATTCACAGACAAAAAAACACTCTCACAGACAATGGGGTGTACTGATGTGTATAAAAAGGTGTACACCAAGAATTTCCCAAAAAAAAAAGATAAAGAAAAGTTATAACAGACATATGGCAATTGATGGTTGAATTGTTATTACAATTCTCCAATTGAATCCTTCTCCCCAACATTTCCATCATTGCTGCTCCCTAATACCCATCATATAGTCTTTCTTTCTTTGATTCTTTCACTTTCCAATTTCAATTTCCCACTTATAATTACTCTCCACTTCTCTCTAATTCACTCCCAAAGACTGATAAACTACCGCCGGTGACGGAGAATCAAGATTTGGAGAAATGGCCGTCACGCCGGGATCTATCTATGCTGACCACCATTTCCGGGCACCACCGCCTTCTCCGATGGCCTCCGGCCGCAATCCCGACATCACCCACGACCTCCAGAGCGCTCTCAGAGTCCCCAAACTCGTCCTCCCCGACCGGGTTTTCTCCCGGAAGAAGCTGCTTCAAGATCCGCCGGAGCTCGACTTCCGGCACCTGGAATCGATGGGCCCGGAAACGGCGTTCGAGATTCTTGACTCTGCGGCGAAAGTTGGGTGCTTTCAGGTTACTAACCATGGAATCCCGGGTGAACTGATCCGGTCAGTTCTTGCCGCCGGTGGCGGCATTTTCAGCATTCCGCCGGAGGTGAAGGTGAAGGCGGCACGGTCGCCGGAGATTCCATGGGGCTTTGAGGAGGTTCATGCGGAGGAGGAGGGGGAGAGACAGGGGAGTGAAGAGTTTGTTTGGTGCCATGATGATGCAGACTTTTCCATGCAAATGCAGAGATTTTGGCCTCTCGGATATTTGGATTTCAGGTATTATTCACCATTAGTGAATAGTGGGGTGAATATTTGGAATTTATTTATGTTTTGTTTATATTTATTCAAATACGTAGTAAATAATTTACTTTGGTCATCAGAAGAATATTGCATCAATCCTACATTTAATCAACTTCTTTGATTTAATCACATTGATATGCGATTATTATTTCTTAAACTAGTAAGATTTAGTTTGTAATCAAAATTTCCGGCAATTAAAATGATTAAAGAAGCGCCCGAAATTTGGCCAGATGAGCAAGAATTTTTTTTTGTATCAAAAGTGAAAAATTATAAGACATGAATCAAATATGAAATTTACTCAATACTCTAGGATCGAATGTAAAATTAATTCTTTATTTAATGCGTAGTCGTGTTTTCTAACATATCATAGTATTTGTTCAATATAAAAACCAACATTCTTGAAATGAGATGACATGTGAACCTGTGACATTTTTTTAAGTATCACAATAATGTTATTAGATCCAAATGTAATTGACATCCTGTGACCATGTGTTTGACCAGAGTAAATAAGTATATTTAATTTGTCCTACTTAGTTTTTCAAAAAGGACATTGGATTAAATTTAAGTCATGAATTATTTATTATTGGTAATGTTGTTAAATTTGACTTAAGAAACATATACTCTGTCCTTAAAAAAAACATATACTCCTCCGTATAAAGATATACTAAAAGTGAAAGTCAATCAATAAAATGTCACATTGTCAAGAATAATACTTCGTATGTCCTACTTGGTTATTGATTTTTCACTCTCTTTAGTTTTTAGTCATTCATTGTGGAATATAGATTTCGTTTATATTTTGGTTTAAATAAAAAAAAAATCAGTATCCTAAGAACTAAATTGAGTAAAAAATAATGGTGACAACTTCGGTACCGTACCTATCATTCATTTGAGTAAAAATCAGTACCGTACCTATCATTCATTTGAGTGGTTCAAATCATTATATTATTTTTAATTTAGTTTAAAATAATTCAACTGTAACATTGTGATTGGTTCATGTGAACTATGATACCTTATGGGTACCATAAAATCTACCAAAAATAATAATGAAAAATTGAAAAGCCAATATGAGTCCAATGGTCGCAATTTAGTAAATATATCTAAACAGTTATGTATGAGGACTAAATTTTTTGTCCAAAATTCAGAGACAAAATGGGAAAATTGTTAGGCGATGTGGGTGATATTTCTGGGAAAATTATTGAGCTCTTGGAGAAGAACATTAACCGAAGGAGACCATGCCATGAAGAGAATAATCATGATGATGAAGAAGCAGGAAGCTCCAATATATGCTATGTCCACAAACAATGGCCTAATACAGATCAAAACAGCAGCTATGATTATGATGTGTTTAGAATTTTGATCAGAGGGTGTGAATTTCCTCATGCCTTGTCTCTACATTTTACCAATGGGTCTTCCACCTTCAATGTATACTCCAAGAAATGTTGGCTCTCTTTCCAGCCCCGGGAAAATGCTATAATTTTTACCGTTGGTGATAGACTACAGGTAAAAACTAAAAAGTTCAATTATCTTTTACTTCTAAGTTACTTCTTGTTGTCTTCCTCTTTTTCAGTTCTAGATCAGACCACACTTAAACAAATCAGACATTTCTAGATCACGTCAGACTTCCATAAATATAAAATACACAGAGACCAAACATTTACTAGACCAAACTAGTTCAGACCAGATCAGACCAGCAAATTTAAATTCAAATAAAAACATCCTAATTATGTAGTTACGTTATATAGTGATTTTAGAATGCATGATTTAATCTAAATCACATCCTCCGTAAATACTATGGAGTATCAAATATATATTCGACAAACTTAGTAGAAAGAGATGACAAAAAGATAGCGGGAATAAGATATACGGAGTAATACTTAAAAATACATATGCATGTATAAGGAATAAAAATATCACAGCCAGTATAGTATATAAATTGTGAAATAAATGTGTAGGCTAGTGTGATTATATTCTTTGTTGTTTCTTCGAACCTTATACAAGAAATTTGTTAGCCACTCAACATACATCTCTCTAATAGACTTTTATAATTGTTAGTGGCTGTCTTGAACAACTTATTTCTTCATATCCATCTTCCTTAGTCACTAACGTGAAAGAGTCAAAATAATCGACGCGAAAAGCCCATTCTTTAGTAGTGAGTGACACTTTAATATCTTCAAATTCACCTTATTAAGACGGCCATCAATATCTTGTGCTTGATCCCCATTTGACAATACATGGGGGTAAGACCCCATCTCCCTTTGATTTCATTATCCCATATTAGTATCATTTGATTAGCATCTTTCACACATTTAATTTTAATGATATCTAGAGTCCTGCAAACATGATCTCGATCATTTCTCTATTTAAAATCCAAAATTTTATAAACTCCTTGTCTAATTTCCCTCATTCTTTGTACACAACTCTAGGTGTTCATTACTCTAACCTTTGCTCAAATTTTTGTAACACTTTATTGGTTCCTGAACTTGTTTCATCTTCTCATTTCAACAAGATATAGGTCCATTTTTGGGGGGAAACATATTTTAGATTCTTCAATACCTCAATTGTAACTTTATTTATGCCCCGCTCCATCAATAAGCACACATCATGCATACTTGCATTATTATTAATGCCCTTACATCTTATCCGACCATCTTATGTGCAAAATTTAATTGGTAATGACTACACTCTCTTCAAAGATAATCTTAGAGTTTATGCAACTAGTTTTCCAAGTGGTTGCTATAATGTTAATTACAAAAAAATGTATAATTGTCCATTCTTTAATAGATGAAACATGTTGACTATTACAATTTACACTAGTCCGATCACATACTACACTCGAATCATGTTTTATTCGTTCACTCAGAAAATTATATTATGTAGAATACTTTTCAACTTCTGCCGTTGCAAAATTTGGAATATCTATTTCTTGTTAATTAATAATTAATATATACGTAGTATCATTAAAAACATTAATTGTCAAAAATCTTCATGTCAAATGGGAAAGACAACATGTTATAGACTTATAGTGCAATACGATTAGAAGAAAATGTAACTTCTCAAAATTTAAGATGATTGGTATACACTAATACATGTGATGCATGAAGTGTGATACACGAATTAAAGTTTGGTACTCCATCCTTCCCAAAATCATCTTCTAAAGTACAAATGATATGCAGATTAAGATAGTGAATATTGTGTGATTAAAATTGTGTTGAGAGACAAATGTATAAAATGTGATGACATTCAATTTGTAAAAAGTATCTTTACGTACATCATCAAATCTAACCTCAGTCTTTTACGAGGTTTATCTTCCTCTTTTTATCATTTTTAAAAAAATTTATTATCATCAAATTGATGATACTTCCTCCGTATTTTGAAGTTCCCTACACTTTCCTTTGTGAGATGTATTTGAAAGTTTGTCACACTTTCCCCCCTTTTTTAAGTTTTTCCTTTAAAAATACTCAAATATCCTTACTTTTTCTACTTTTTATTTTCTCTTTTCTACTTTTCCACATTCTCTCCTACTTTTTCTACACTATTCATTACCCCTACTATTTTCCCCTTAAATATTGTGTCAACCCCTAGTGTAGAGATCTTTTAAATACAGATGAAGTAATAATTTGATGACATCAATTAATAATCATTGAGTATTTTTAAAGGATATTTCCTTAAATATTGAAGTATGAAATAACAAGTACGAAGTATAATTTATAGACAAAAGTATTACTCCATACTTTATTAGTTACTCGGTAGTCGGTACTACGTAGTCATTTAAGTATAAGAACTTTATGATAAAAAAAAAAGGTATAAGAACTCGATCATGTTTTTACCTAATACCTTTATGGTCATTTTTAAAGTACTCCGTAATTCATTATATGTACTCGTATAATAATTCATGTAATAACTTTTTAAGTGCAGGCATGGAGTGGTGGAAGGTATAATCATGTGATAGGAAGGGCAGTCTTTCAAGAACAAAAGGACTGCGGCATATCAATGGCTATTTTGTATTCTCCGCCCAAAGTAAAAGTTGAAAAAGAAATAACAATTTCTTTTGTCCAACAAATTGTTATTGCAATATTATTGATGTGTATTTACCAAATTTTCGTGTTCATGGTAAAGAAAATATGATATGTGAATCTTAACACCTACACAATCATTTTTCTTTTAGCTACCATTTAATCTCTTTAGATTTTCTTATATTTTTTATTATTATATTGTACGTGTTTTGTGTTTGTATTTTTCTATTTTTATTTTCCCAGCATGTAAGGCTTGTATTGCGTTCATCAGTTCGGTTGAAATGATCAGAGCGAATATGATGATGTCTTTCTCTTTGTAAAATGTAAATCAGAGTTAATCGAAGTATTAATTTGTAAAAATGCTTCTATATATGTTGGTGACCTTAATTTATTGTCCCCAAATTATAGAATGGAATGACATTCTTTTAACATGATGGGATTGATTGATCTATGCCCCAATCACTACTAAAAACTCTCGTATTTGGCTCGGATTTTGTCGAGAGATTTCCCAGTACAACGCTTTTGATTCAGATTTGTCTTCGATATAAAATTTGAATTGTGTGTATATCTTTGTTTTTTGTAGTAATCACTACCGATCATGGCATGCATCCTCCCTCCAACGACTAGCAAGCTAGGGGGCAAGGAGGGCGGGAGGATCCCCACTATGGGATCAATGAAGTGCTCAATCAAATAGAGAAGGTTAAAAATGAGTTCTCAACAATCTTTTGTGATTAACCAATCACAAATGGTCATGTGGCTATTTATTTATTGTCATGTTTGGTTTTTCACACAGATTAAGAAAATGACACTGTAGCAACACTGTTTGGCACTGTAACGACACTGTTTGACACTATAGCGACACTGTTTGGTACTGTAACAACACTATTTGACACTGTTTTGCACTGTTTGACAATGTTTGGTATAGATTTGTTTACCAAATAAGGAAGGTAAAGAAACGAGACAATTATTTCGGGACAGACCGAAAAGGAAAGCAGGACAATAATTTTGGGACGGAGGGAGTATCATGGAAGTATGGAACAAATCGCTTCTCTTCCCCATCAAAATAGCCACCAACCTCATTAAATATCTCTCACCTCCCTAATTTCGATCATTTATTATTCATTAAATTTAATGTATTGTAAAAGTAAAATCATACCAAAAAATAGATCCCCCCCCTCTATAATGAAGTGTATGTTTAGTCACTTCAAAGTTTTCCACTTCTTTACCTCTTGCATCTTATTTTATCTGTTTTAGAATATTTTTCCTCTAAAAATGGATCGAACTCATTATAAATACAATGCCAATAATAAATAATTATAGTGGGTCAAATGTGGATTTTATATTTCTTTTTCAAATTATAAATTAATAATGGTGGAATATACCAAAAATTTGGCCGGGGAGAGAATATATAATATACAAATTTTAAGTGACCTAGGTCATCATAGTGGGGGGAAGTGTGATAGGTTAGAGGGGATTAAGCTTTTGGTGGGAAATAATGTGGAAGAGAGGGGATGAGGTCAAAAGCCATCAACATTGTGGATGGCATAGGTGTGAGGAGAGTGATTTTTCAGCCATAATTTTTGGTGGAATGTTTTGAGGTGTTTCCGGGTGGTTTTTGTAATGAAAATTTGTGACCATGTTCTCTATAAAGTTTAGATTTTGCCCACAAAATTTTAGTTCAAAATTCAATCAAGAAACCAATTAAATAAATTATTCAAGCATAATACGCCTTTTATGTATATTTTGGTGCAACATTTTTCAATAATTTACTTAATCGATTTCATGATTGAATTTTAAGTTGAAATTTTGTTAATAAAATAATCTACACTTGATGAAAAAACATGTTCAAATTTCATTAAAAAAATCAGTTGGAAGTAAACTAGACGGATACGAGCATTTGATTAATTTATTAATTGATTTCATTCATAGTTGATTGTTTGACTTAATTCTTGTTTGGTATCTATTGAGTGTTGGTGCTATAATTTAATTTACAAATTGGGACATTTGTAATAAAGCAAGGCTGGTCACAAATGACAACTATTTTCCTACAACGAATTTAACACTCAACTAACACGGATTTTTTTCCACTAAAAATGTAGACAATTTTTAAATTTTGGTTGGGTCAGGGCCAACTCTGGCCCTCCCTTGCTGGGGCGGACTGGACCGGCACAAAGAATATTTTCGAAAAAATGTTTACACGGATTTTTTTACACTAAAAATGTAGATAATTTTTAAATTTTGGTTGGGTCAGGGCCAGGGTTGGCCCTCCCTTGCTCACCCCGTGGCACCCGCGGGCCGCGGTCGCACAACATGAGGAATAGATCATAATCTCGAGTCGAATTCTGATTGAACTATTTGAGTCTCTTGAATGGTCCTTTTATTTGGGATATTTTTATGTTTATTTTCTTCTTGTCATTTCTTCTTTTAAGTGTTTTTCTATTTCCTATAATGTACTTTATTCATCTTCGATAAGAATTCATTTAAAATTAATAATAATTTCATTGTGTAGTAAAAAGGATTTAATCTGGATCGGATAAAAGAAAAGGAAGTGAAGATTGGAGAAAGCGATGACACTAACGGTCTGTTTGGATGGAGTGTTACGAGGTGTTAGTAATGGAAGTGTTAGTAAGTGTTGAGAGAGGTAAATTATATCATACAACCGGCTGTACCTAGGGCATGGTACAGCCGGGTTTTTCTGAAATTAGTTTCAACTTTGAGGGCAATATATATGTTAGTTGTTGCTCTTTACTTCTTTTGTCCGCTGCAGTACTATACATACGTATCAACCTGGGCACTGATTTCCGCCGCATGCAGTACTCCGCCGGGTTTTCTTGATCGTTTCTAACTCCACCTGGGCCGCATACACTACTCCACCTGATTTCTGCCGCATGATGATTTCCTTTTTTTTTTTTTACTCTTTTTCGTTTATTGCTTTTTAATTGTTTGTTCTCTTTCTGCTTTTTTTTTCTTAGCAACATCAACTTTAATTTTATTTTCAATTATTATGAAGTGTCTCAATCTTTTTCTTTTTCCAATCAAACTTTTATTCTTTTATTTCTGTATTATAACATATTTTAGGTATTAATGTTTTATTTTTCTATTTTTAATTTACAATGAATATTTATTAGTTTATTAAATAGTACTACGTATGTGTTAATTACTAACATGAGTTATGTGTTATATTAAAATGAGTATAGTGAAAAATAAACATGCTTGGGTAAACATTATAAAAACAACCCAATCCCAATTATATTTGTAATTCGAGAACGAAAGACTATATTATTTTAACATAAAATTACTATATTTGTGATTATATGTGCATAAATGAATATTTGAACACATTAGAGAATTCAAATGAGCTTTGAATTTTTTATGCTCATTTTGTAAACCATATATGTTCATTTGACACTGGGTTTATGCTCATTTTACAATGTCATGTTAATGCATATTTTAAAAGTATCATATTTATATACATGGGAGCAGAGATCGTGATACTCAATTGCATGCTTCTGATACTCAATAGAGAATGTTTGATGTTCAATAAGATGTTTTGATATTCAACTAACAAAGCTTATTTGGTAAGTAATGTATGCTCATTGTGTACCAATATTATGCTCATTTTAAAATGTTATATCTATGCATCTTAAATTTGCATGAGAGTTGATTATAGACACGAAAGTAGAGATCATGATACTCAATTGCATGCTTATACTACTCAATAAAGGAGTTTTGATGTACAATGAAAATGTCTTGATGCTCAACTAACAAAGCTTATGATTTTCATATCATTGCTCATTTGGTAAGTAATGTATAATCATTTTGTACTGGTGTTATGCTCATTGAGTATCTGAATACTCAATAGACCGAAATGATCATAATAGGATTCAATTATAGACCCGAGAGCACAGATCATTATACTCAATTGCATGATTCGAATACTCAATAGAGGGTGTTTGATGCTCAACTAACAAAACTTACAATTTTCATATCAATGCTCATTTGTACGTTACATATGCTCAGTTGGTACGGATGTGCTCATTTTTAAAATGTCAAAACATTGCATATTTCAAAAGTACGATATTACATTAGATTCACATATTGAAATTCATAGGAATTGATTATAGATATAATTTAATGAGTTTTTATAAAAGAAAAAATAAGGAAAAGAAAATGAATTATAATATATGAAGTTGATATCACAATACTCATTATTTGACTCTAAATGCTCAGTAGAACACGTTTGATGCTCATTAAAAGTGTATTAATGCTCATCTAACGAAAACCGCGATTTTCACTGAAATTACGAAAATGCCACCGTTTTTAGTTGTGATATCAGCTTTCTTGTAATAACACGAAGCTCATTATTGGACGCTTAATACTCATTAAAATTCAACTATTGCTCATTAAAAGTACACTAGTGCTCATTTAGCAGAAACCGCGATTTTTACATTATTACAAAAATGCCACCGAATTATTTTGTTATTTTTACCTTGGGCCTGTTACTGGGCCGGCTGTACGGTGCTCACCGTACAGCCGGTTGTTACGTATGATATACGTACTCGTTGAGAGAGGCCCAGAAGGGAAGGGAAGGGAAGGGAAGTGTAAGTGTTAAATACATAATCTTACCTTGTTTGGGAGAGTTAAAAAAATGAAGTGTTAATAATGGAAGTGTTTTCACTTAAATTGACAAAAATATCCTCATACCTTCTAAATTATTGAATATCCATAATTACATGCTCAAAAAATCAAATTTCTTTTATTTCTACTCGATACTACATGGCAATATATACTACGTATATGCTAAACCAAACCTCCAACTTATGTAATTTATTAATCTAAAGTCAAGGCTTTCAATTTTAATTCTAAAATCATCTTTTCTTGATAAATTGGAGTAATGAATAAAACTAAATCTAAGATTAGGGTTGTTATCTTCCTAAATTCTAATTAGAACGGTGGGCATGAGGTGTAGTTCTCTGCCAAGTTTCTGTAACTTCCAACCAAGTTCAATTCCAACTTACAAATTCAGTTCGTATAAAATTATAGATTGGACATGCTCTGCTAGTTGCCACCTCAAGGAATTCACTAGGAACGGGCGTATATCTATATATTCTATATATACAGACACCAAAATATCATATATATATCCTCGCAAAAAAAATACTTCCTCCGTTCTTTTTTAGTTGCAACATTTCTTTTTTCACGCTTGCCGATGCACAACTTTGGTTGTCATTATATTTAATTCTCTATTTCTAAAAAAACTTTTAAAAATTAGATTATGAAACTTTGTAATGAGATCAATTTAAAAATATTTTTCAAAAAAAATAATTCACATACATTAATAAATTAAGAGCCCGTTTGGTAGCACCAAAATCGGCTGTTTTGGCTGATTCTGCTGAAATTTATGATATTCTGGCTGGAGTGGCTGTTTTGGCTGATTCTGCTGATTTAAGAAAAAAATATTTTAAAAATATATTTCATTAATAAATTAAAGAAAAAATTATATGTAAAAATAGCTAAAATGGTCCTCTACAGTAACTTCAGCCAATACAGCCAGAAAAGTAACTTCAACCTTACTTTTTCGGCTTATTACACAATTCAGCGCGCGAAAGTAAAAATTACGTGTTTGGTGAAAAAGCTGGCTGATAAGCCTGATAAGCCGAAAACAGAGTTCTCCAAACGGGCTCTAAATGTAGTAAAAGTAGAGTACATGAATAGTGTGTAATTTCCAATGTTGCAACTATTATGATACGGAGGATAGTACGTAGTATCATATATATAAAGTTTGCCTATAATTTTATAAGAAAGCTAACAGAATGAGATGAAGGCAAAGAGGAGAAGAGAAGGCAAGTTGTGCGGCAGAAGAGGGAGTGAGCAGAAGAGATAAAAGGCAATCCATGGTACCTGCGGCAAGGAGATGTGCCGTGTGCGCCATAGACAATTTGAGAGGGAAGAAGTTGTCCAATACCTCAAAACACTCCAAATTGGGGTGTTCAAAAAA